GTCTAGTAATTTAATTTACCTTCCTAGGTTAACAATCCATCGAAATTTGAGAATAGTTTTTTACAACTAGTACGTGTTTGATAATTGACAGAATTCAGAAAAGCAAAAAGGCAAGATTGAATACGAAACGAGCAACAAGAGAAGCGAATATACTGTGCCTATAACAATGATAAAGCCAAACTGAACTGCTGTAATGGAATAAATTGAACACCATAATTTGCAAATGGACAAAAAATATATATATCAGTTTTAGGAAATGAGGTAACATTTTGGGTGCCAAACAGTATGGCAAGTAAGGAATTAATTAAGAAAACATCCCAATATGACCCTACATATACAAGAGACAGAGAGATACATCTTTATTAGACAAATGGAGACCGTAGAGAAGATTGAAGCATGAGCAGCGCTAGCGGCACTCGCTTCCTGCACTCTCCGGCCAACACTTCCACTTTCAATGGGCCACGTAAGCTTGCTTATGAGCTTTTGAAATGCAACCTCTTAAATCAAAATAACGTGGCCCAATAAAAATGGAAGTGTTGGCCGGAGAGTGCAGGAGTCGACTGCCCCTAGCACTGCTCAGCAAGCATATATAATAGACCAACTCACTATCAAATGTCAGCAGAAAGGATCATTAGCCACAATCTCCTTAATCTCGATTTTTAGAACCATTAGCATTGGGCTTTCCAAATTCATGACAACTCTGTAACCATAAGTATCAATACCTAGTCATTTTCAGGAAGTGCGGTAACACTTCGGAAGCAGCTCGATGTGCTGATGGGTGCGTACCGTAATGGTGACGTAAGGGAGGCGAATCGGAAGTACTGAGATCGTGATGTGTGTCGCCTCTACTTGTTCGGCCTTTGTCCTCACGAGTTCTTCCAATTAACGGTATTCTCCTGATTGATTCCTTATTATTATTTTTTTTTCATCTTCTCTTTATGTTTCATTATTTGTTAAATGATTCATGCCCATCTCTTTCCTTTTGAAACCTAGTTTATGAATTTGAATTGCTTTTCTGCGTTTGGTTTCTGAGGAATTTGGTGTTTTAGAAGCAGGACGAGTTTAGAAAGAGAGATTGGTTGAGTTGGCGTTGAGTGTGGGAGCAACACATAATCTGGTTTTTGTTATGCCCTAACTCCTAATTAAGAAGACATGAATTGAAAATTGTGTCTGCGAAAAATGGGATTCTGAGATAGAGGGAGAGAGGAAAGTTGTTGAATTAGTGGTAAGCTTGAATTACATGTATTTATGAAGACTGCTACTGGAACCATTTTGAAAATGGTTTTAAAGAAATATAAAGAAGAAGAAAAAAGAAGTGGTAGTTGTGCATGAATAGCAAAGGTATGTTATTATTAGCTATTTTTGGGTTAGTTTGGTTACTTATTATCTGTATAAATTAGAACGAGGGTCATGGATATAAGTTTTCTATTTTATCATGGGTATCTTTGGAAGAGATATAAATTCAAATAATAGGGATGCTGTTTCTGTGCACTTTCAATTGTTTATTCTGGTTACTTGTGAAGTGTCATAAAGAAAATCGTGCTAGGCATTAAATTCTCTATTTATCACGGGAATGTAAGATAGAAGACAAATAAACTAGGTATTTTTGGTTGTGATCCATGTTTCTTTATAAATTTAATTAGTGTCTCATTTACAATCCTATTGTTTATTGTCAACTGGTATGACACGTTTCATTTTATGTGTTGAGGAAGGTATTTTGGTGAGTTTCTTAGGTAGATACTATATGCTCTTGTAGTGTTCATAGGTATCACTGTCCTTATGTGGTAAACTATTATATGTTCAACTTTAGCTTTTGGTCACATTTGAGTTGTAGATACTTTGTTTATAGTTTTTTTTGCAAGTTATTGAGACTTTGGGATTTCTGATTTCAAACTTGTTGTTTCATCTTGTTTTCTTTGTAAGTTATTGAGACTTTAGGATTTCTGATTTCAATCTTGTGTTTTCTCTTGTTCAGAAAATGGATATAGGGCCATGTCCGAAGGTCCACCCTTTGCAGCTGAGGAGAGAGTATCCTTATATTACTCATAATGCTGGATAGGTGCTTTTTTAGTAGTAGGTACTTTATGTTTGGTTTTCAAAAGTAATGTCTTTGATGATGATATGCCTATGCTATGCACTTTTAGTTGTTTCTGTATTTGTGCATCTGTGGTTGCTTAACCCTTCTTAGATATGAAGAAGCTAAGGCAAAAGGCATCGATAATTATGACAGAGAGTTCGCAGATGCTATTGACAGGCTCATTGTTGAGTGTGATAGGAAATTTTGTAGAGCTCTCAAGTGTCTTGAAGATGAGGATCCAAAGGCCACTATTGCTATATTAGTCTCTGAAGTTATTCAGGTTTTGGATAAGTATTAATTTTATCTATCTGACCTTTCTCCCACTTGGGACTTACAGATTTATTTATTTTCTATATGATGTTATAGAAATCAGAAGTACTAGAGCTTTCAAAGCAGAATAAGGAGAAATTGAAAGAAGCTGATCAATATGGTATCATATTTTTGCACTAGCTCGTCTTTTATTTTTTCAGTGCTGTCTCTAAGTTATCACCTAATATTTTTTCTTTTGAGAAAATTTTTATTTATTCATCCTTCTTTTTTTTTTTTGAAAGGTAAGGTAACATTGGAAGCATTTGGCTTAGTGTGTTATTAGGTAAGTTTTTATGATTTGATTTTTGATGAAATCCATCTACTTTTGATGTTGAGTTGGAGATTTTATTTCACTTTTATGCTTGAATTCCTTGTTTTCAAATTGCCTTTTGAAGGTTATGTATAAAAGGAGGGGGTGGGGGTTGGGTGGGCTGGTAGTATTTTCTCTTGAGGTTTTTAAGTACCAGGTGTGACTCTTGAATTGGAACAAAGATGTGTTTTCTGCCTTGCCAATTGATGACGAGTAGTCGAGTACTTGATTTGTTTTCTTTGATTTAACTTGGTTATTCTTCTTTGAATTAATTGATTCAGGGTGATTCCCAAATTTATAACAATTGTTGTGAAGTTTTTGTTTATGGGTTCAATAGATTTCATAAATTTTAAGATTTCGATTACATGGTGCAGAGGGATAACCATAGTTGGAGTTTGACTGCTTTCCCCATTATTTCAACTCTAAGGTGTTTAATTTGTTATAAAAAGAATAATTAAATGATTCAATCAGTAATTTTAGAGTGAGGAGACTACTTCAGAATATCCATTTGTCTGGTTGATATGTTTGGATAGTTAAGATTAAATCAATATGGTTGAATTCAGCCAAAGGCTATGTCTCCCCACATAATCTAGAGGACCTGGCCAATGGTACCAAAGAATGGTCAACTGTTCACATCATTTGGTGTGCCTTTAAATGACAGATTAGCATGACAAGGTAATGATATGTCACAGTCTCACTTATGTTGCGGGCCTTTGTAAATGAGTTTTTGAGAATTCTTGAGAAATTTCTCTTGTTAGGGAGTTTAACAAATGATTGGTTTGGGAGTTTAATATATGATTGGTTTCAGTGATATCAAATCTGTAATATTACATTGCTTGACTTGATGAATTCCCAGTAAACCATATCGTGTTTGATTTTTGAAGCCTTTTTAGAAGTTTTTTGTTTAAAGTGCTAAATTCTGTACATACAACAATTATGTTGCATAGTATTTTCTTTGTCCTTTGTCTTAATATTTACTGTGGATAAATTGTGAAAATTTTATGATTAGCTTTGGGGTGTACATGATATCTCTTTGATTTGCAAATCTTGAAGGCAAGACAGATCTTAAAATACGAGCTCTAGAAGAAGTAGAAGAGCTTAGAACTAGAAGAGCAAATAAATAGGTACTTGATAGCTTCTTTAGATGTAGGATTTGAAATGGGTCTCTGAAAGTATTTATTTATGCATATCAGAATATTTTATATTGACTGTGTATTAAGTTTCTCATAATTTGATTCTTGTATAAAATTTAGTCTCTTGGTATATATGATGTTGCTGTTTATTGTGTTATAGTCAACACTGCTTTTGGATGCATTCAATAAAGATCGGACATCTTTGCCCCAACCATTGCCAAACCCTCCATCTTTGGCACCACTGCCTTTGCCTGCACCTGATCCTCGGACCCAGGAAATGATAAATGAGAAGCTGAAGAAAGCTGAGGATCTTGGTAAGACTCAGGTTACTTGAACTCCGTATTCTATGTATGTAAAGCAAGGACAAAACATCTTGAGTTCTTGACGATAGATATCTATTAAGTAGCATGTGTTAAATAACATAAACATCTTGAGTTCTTGATGATAGATCTCTATTAGGTAGCATGTCTTAAATAATTAAATTCCTAGAAATGGAATAGCAGTAATCCTTAAGTTGTTTCTGAGGTATTTATTATGCCGCTTTATGTTCCTTCCTGTTTGTGCTTTTACATTTTTTTCCTATAAAAAAATGCCAATGTCTGAAAATTTGTTTCCCCTGCCATTCCAAAACAATTGTCAATGGTTGATATAGACTCGGTGCTTTACTGATTTTTCAATTAACACTCAGTGCCTTACATTAACAATGCCATTAGGGTGGTTTCATTTAAAACATACAGAAAGGCTATTAAAAATATTTAGTTATCCAAATATCTCTGAATGATAAAGATGAAATGATAATGAAACTAATAAATTGATAAACTGAAGACTTGCTCTTGAATGAAATGGCTTCTTGTCCATGATGTTAGCCCAAAGTCAATAGTCTTTCTGAGTGATATCTGTGGAAAAGGCTGGTAGTTGTATTAAGAAAAGGATCCTTGGGGTTTGGATTTTAGTCATTTGGAAATCTATTTTATTTGTTTGAAAACTGTACTTATCTGTGTTTTATTGAACTGTGTTGTACAAAGTTTTCAAGAATACATGATGTACTCATCTATGTTTTATTAATAGGCTCTCTTGCTCTATTATTGTTGTTTAGGTGAGAAGGGGATGGTAGACAAGGCACAAAAAACATTAGAGGGGGCTGAAGCACTCAAGAAAATTTCAATTTCTGAATTTAGTAGTGTTATTTCAGTAGATTGATTTTATTAACTTGCACCATTTCCTTCTCCTTGGCATGCCTTGTTTGTGGATAATTGTTTTTCCATATATGTTCAGCTCTATACCAGACAAGAGCCTGTTTTGGATTCCTCTAATAAGTATATTGCTGCAGATGTTCGCATTGTGAGTTCTGTTTTTCTTTCTTTTAGTTTCACAGAAGGAAAACTATGATAAAAACTAGATAAGAAAACTTAGACACTTGGACCTTATTGGGAAAATATGAATTCGATTTGCATAATTAATGCATGAACAGTCCCTGTCATAATTTGATTTTAGTTTAATTTTCTTTTAGTTCATTTATATGTTAATATTCTATCTGCTCTAATCTTTTTTATCCCATTTTGTTTCAGACTTATCAAAAGCTACATGTTTCTGGTATTTGTGGAGCACTTTTGAGTGTTTATGACAGGTACATTTTTTATCTTTTACTTCTTGATCATAGCCTTTTATCTTCTTTCTAAGGGCTTCAAAAAGTTAGTGTTTGGGGTTTCAAGTGCTTCAGCTTTTGACCTGGCTATTGTACCTCTTTGTCACCAACAGGCTTCTGGGCCCAGTTTTACGAGGATAACTTTTGCAGCTACATAATGTGCGTCTTTTTCTGTTTTTTTCCTTGTAGATCATGCAATTGTTAGATGGTAAATATTTGGGAAACTGTATAATCTATAATGCATACTACTGCAGTTTATATATTTTTCTCTTTTTTTAAGTTTCTAGGTCAAAGTGATTTGATTTTTCTTGTTTCTTTCAGTGACCAACGTTTAGCAGATCATTTTGGAGGCAAACTTCATTTAGGCTATATGCAAATCTGTGATAAATTAGCAGAACTTCAGGTAAGATGATTTACATGCTTGGTATATGCTGACTGGCTATGGTGGCTCTGCTTTAAGTGTTACATTATAGTGCCTGGCATCCAAGATATTGGTTGTATAAATTGCCTGAACTATCCACTTACTATGTCTATTATTATTATTTTTTTAAATAATCAAAACTTTGTTTGAATGCAGTTACCCAATGGATTCTAGTAAGACAGCAAATTAATACATCTTTTCCAGATCCCCTTAAGTTTGTATTGTGAATATGTTGGACAGGTGCTGGTATAATGTTTCTTATTCTTCTATATAGATTCTCAGTTAGTATCATCTGTGAGTTTTTCTGACCTCAGAGAAGAATAATATCTCCCATTTTTCAATTTCTTTTGATTGTTTGTCGATGCTGGACTTTAAAACATACTATTTTCTACCTTGTCTGTGCATTTCAGGCTTAAAATGCATCAAATATGAATGCCTTGGTGCTCAACCAATTTTGATAGATTAGTTTTTTCTGCTGAAAGAATGAAAGAAAAGGAAAACATGAAATCAAATACGGGAGAAGTACAAGAAAGGAGTTTGTTGTAAGTAATGTAAGAAAAAAAAATGAGCTTTTCATATGTTTAAAATCTGTGACAATAAATCTGATGAAGGCCTGGGTTGGTCAAGGTAAGTTGCCTACTAATTATGCCTACTACCATTAGAATTCTTTCCTAATGGTCCTTGTGGCATGTTATATTTAGCTAAATTGAATTGGCATTTAGCTTTTTGAAAGAAGCATTCAGTAGTATTTGCTGATTATTGTTTTCTCAGGAAGAAAGAAACAAGAGCCACAAACTTGACCGGTATGATGACAGGAGGTAGTCCTCTCCTTTTTCCTTTGGTAAACCATTGGGTGGTGAGGGGGGTGTTGTGATATCCTTTTTATTGGTGGTGTATAGATCGAAAGAAAGAAGCAGAGATCATGAGAGAGAATCAAGTGGGGACCGAGACTGATAGAATAGCCGTGACCGAGGGAGTGATTATGATTGTAGGAGCAGAGATCATGACAGGTATAGTGATTGAGATCGTGATAGGGATTATGAGCACTCTCGGACTTATGATTCTAGAAGTCGCCACTGGTCACGCTCAAGGTCTAGGGAACGCTCTAGGGATCATGATCGCCACAGGTACTTGTTTAAGAATATCCCATGCTTGTACAACCTATTAGTTTTGTTTTGTAATCATTTTTTAGATAAGAATCTTACTCAGCATTTATGAATGCTATCATTTGTTTCAATTATATTTCCCTTATTATTGGAATACAGTATAGAGAAATGATTGTAAATCTGGAGTAGACCCGGAACCAACCATGCTTAAGGAATACAGGTGTAGTGAACACCTTGACTGTAGATTTTAATGCTGTTTTTCTTCATATAAAAAACCCTAGTTTTTTTTAATCTCATCTAAATTGTAAAATATCTTAACTACTGTTTAATTATGATGAGCTGATGAAGGGATGGCATTCCTTTAGTACCTAATTATATTATGACTTGTTAGTTATTACTTGGATTTGAATCTTGATCTTCACCTCAAAACCAAGTGATAGATATTTGCCTGCCTTATTTTTATTACATTTTGTTTTGTGCCTGAAGCTTTTAAAGGTTTTTGTGCTGATAAGGATTATTCTTGAACCTTACTCATTGTTTTTAATCAGGCGTGACCGATACTAGATGCATGAATGCTGCCAAGAAGAAAATGAATACGAAACTGTTCTTGCTTAGGTAAGCCGACTTATATAGGGGAGTAGCATTCCTCAGTTAAGTTATTTGACAGTTTGTCATGTGGTTGTATCAACATGTTTAAGGGGGTATTTGTTGTTTTTTTGGTATGTAGAGACTAGGAATTGAATCTTAAACTTATGGTTAAGAGTATAAGTAATTCTATCACCAGACCATATGGCTGACAGTTAAGAGGGGTATTTGTTACTTGGTGATTTGTGTTTGGTATTTGGTATTAGTGTAGATGTAAGTTTGGTTGATTTTACTATTGTAATTTGCATGTCGAGCAATTTTTAGTTAAGTATCTAAAAGGAGAATTAATATAATGAGGTTGAATTTTATTTTCTGCTTTGACAGCTTGATATTAAGTTGGCAAGAAATTTGAGGATGCTGGAAACATGATTCACGCAATTATATCCAGATTCAGTCTCATCTACTGGTAATAATGCATGATTGGGTGTGAATTGATATGCACGAAAGAATTATTTATGGAAAGAAATTTTTTTTGTAATTCTCAATCATTTGCTATGCAAAAAGCATTAGATCAAATTACATCCAAAAGTTAAATGGGAAACTGCAGGGAGTGGAAAGCTCATCCATTGATACCAAATATCACTTAAAGAATCATCTATAAGCAGTGTGCTTTAAGTATGCAAATGCACATCTCCAATATGCAAAGTGGCTCAATCTGTCTCATCCTGTGTAGCTTATTATCACACACAAAGTAAAAAAAATGTGGACCTCCCAGGGATCTATGTATCGCAAAAGAATAAGGAAATACCTGAGGCACCAAAATTTGTTGTGCATGTGAAAGCTAAAATTTATATTTAAAATTATGGTTTGCTTTGTGTCTAAAAGAAAAAGAATATAGCAAACCAATCAAAACGAACAAACTATATTCTAATTAAAAACAAAGTACATCAAAACTCAATTGATAATTATAAAGTAACATTTGTTTTTTGAATACTTTATCTTTAAAACATCATAAATAACAGACAATTTAATTTTGGGCACCAAGCAATGTGGCAACTTTATAAACTTCGGATCCAATTTATTACTTATGAGCGTAGCATTCAGACCTTATGGTAATTAAGAAAGCAACCTCTCAATATATATAGTTCCATATAGTTCCATATGTATAACAAATGTATTTTTATCATACAAGCATGTATAAGAAAGCAACATTTGTTTTCTTGAAGGATATTCTCTCTTTAATACTATAAAAAAACTTATAAATTTAAAGTCTTTGCATGAATTTAATAATACATATTACAAGTTGCATATGAGTTCGAGAAATAGAAAAGATTGTCTTTTTTTTCTTTTTTTTCTTTTTCCTTTTTTTTTTTTGGTAGAAAAAAGGGATCAATTTTATTTAGTGAGGTAACATTGTAGCCACCAAGCAATGTGACAACTTCACATCCAATTTATGCGTACGCCATTCAGACCTGCAAGGAACTAAGCAAGCAGCCTCAATATACCTCCATGCATGTTTACAAGAGATGTACCTTGATCAAACAAGTGTAGAGAGATGATGGAAGCATAAGACCAACTCACCATCAAATTTCACTTGGAAAGGACATAAGCTGCAATTTCTTTGATCTCAATTTTCAAAATCACCTTGATTCTGCAGACATAAAAACACCACAATACTGACAATGAAAGGAAAAATTATTGCAAAAATTTTCCTTTCTAAAATCATGATCTATTAAGCGTTCATATATACCTTTCTAGTTTTTTTTGTTATTTCGAAAACTCTAAATGAAGATTTGTGTAAAAAAAGAAAAGAGATAGAACTTAAAAAAGGAAAAACCAAAGGAGATCTTTCGAATTAATGCATACCTTTTGCATGAACTGTAGTTGTATGGTCGAGTTTAGGTTGCCATCCCAAAAGCCTTCGTCCTCATCTCTAGCCAATTTTACTTTCTGTAGTTTTGGCATTTTTATTTCATCCATGGAGAAAGTCTGCATACTTGGACAATCCATCAAAATCACCTCTTCCAAAAATGGGAACTCAAACTTGCATTTAGTCGAGCAAAAGCTTGAAAGTCTAGGCAGACCACAAAGCTGCAAATACTTGAGTTTGCTAAAGACAATCTCATCCTTCACATCATCCTCCAACCATGTGACGGTTTCCAACAAAGGTAGCGGAGTGGCCTTTTGAGCTTGTGATTGGCTAACACCAGGTTCATGAGACTCAAGTATCTCTTCAAGTGAATCACAGTTCCATATTTGGAGCTTGTCTAGTCTTTGAAGCCTTTTGAACATACTAAATGGGAAAATATTCAATAATTTTTCACATGAAACCACACTCACCAAAGTTAGTTGGCAAAAAGAATCTACTTCGAGCTGGTCTTTCCATATCTTATTCAAGCTCTTCACATGTTCAATTACCAAATGCTCTAATTTGGGGAATGCCACCTAAAGATTTACACAATTTAATTAAAATTAAACATAATCATAAATATAATGAAATGAAAATATTGGAATCTAATTTTTTTTTTTTAAATGTAAAACTTTAGGAGGACAAGAAAATAATAATAGCATTATAAGACATTAAAAAGTAAAGAATAAAGGGGGAAAAAAAGAGAGGAGAAATCACCTTTGCGTCAAAGAGAGAAAGTGCATAAGTGTTTTTGACATTTTCAGAACTAGCTATCATGTCTCCAGAAAAAGAGCTAGAGATGAACGTCTTCAGCATAGGGCACTTGCTTATCTTAAGTTTCCAAAGGCATGGTAATTCCAAGTAATTTCCAAAACAAAATCTTGTGAGTTTTGGAAGGTCTTGGAGCAGTAGGAATTCCAGGTTAGGGAAGAAAATCTTGCACATCTTTTCCTCATCCATTGATTCTTCTACAAGTATTACCTCTTCCATCATATTACAATCACAAATCTTGAGCCAATTCAGTTGCTCAAAACTCTTAACCATGGAGGATGTCAATAGATATTCCAAATTACCACAACCCTCCACACACAACTTTCTTAAATTTTGGACATAAGAAGAGATTTCTAGAATCGAATTGTCCAAAATTCGCTGAATGTTATTTGACGATAGACTCAAAAACTCCAAGCTGGGAGTCTTTACCTGCAAAGATTCTTGGTTAGTCTATTAATATAAGATAGTAGGAAGATGACTATCATATTTGCTTAATTTTAGCTGAAGACAATTTCAAAAACTCCAAGTTGAGAAAACTCAACCTAATAGAAACTTCATGAAAAAGGGGTTTTATTATTATTATTATTATTATTATTAGTAAACTAAAAACATTATAAGGATAATCCAAAAGCAAGAACATGAAAATGATGTGCAATTATGTGAAGTAAATTGATTTTTGAGTAGAAAATAGCCAACTCTTTTTAGACTTAAACACTATTCGGGTAAATGCAGGGCAAAAATGCAAAAAATATATTATTTGGATCAAAAATCTTATTTTTAGACTTGAGTAACTTCATATTTTAAGTGGTGATGTACCTTCCAAGAGTCTTTATTTTCTAACCGTATATTAAGTGAAACTTATTCAAGGAGATTCATTCATGTAGTTAAAGAGGTAGCTAGAGATGAAAACACAGACATACGAAAAGCAAACATAAATATGATGTAAAATCTTAATTACAAAGCATAAATATAAAAAATAAACCATGTTGCTGTTAAAAAAAAAAAAGAAAAGAAAAGAAAAGAAAAGAAAAGGGGAAAGAAGAAAAGAAACTAACCTTGCTGCTGAAGAGGTATTGGGATTCCTCTTTGTTGTGTTCCTTGGAGGATGCAGATGCAACAAATGTGACCATTTTTGGGCAGTCTTTTACAGTAAAATCAATTAAAGATGGAAGCTCAAGACTATGACTTCCCACATGGAAACTTGTCAAATCTGAACAAGACTCTAGATTGATCAACCAAAGATGTGGGAATTCCATTTTATTTTTTGCTCCTTCTCCCATTATCACTTGTTCCATTGTTCCACAATCTTTTACTCTTAACTGCAACAGTTGCACGAGGCCCAAGGCCAATGAATCTGTTAATAGGTACCTGAACTTGCTACAATCACAAATTTCCAGCACCTGAAGTTGTCTAAAATGTAAGAGTTCTTGAGGATTCTTGATATGCCATGTTTCCATCAACTTGGGAAATTTTGACAAAACCAAAGTTTCTAACCCAACAAATCCAACCTATGCAAGTGCCAAAAAAAGA